CTACAGTACATATCTACAAATTATAAAATTAGCTATAAATCTCAATACAAACATAGTGGCACAATCATAAATAATTGATATCTAATATTATTTCACAACTAATGTTTATGGTTTGTAGGCTAATAAAAACATTTTTTGTAAACAATAAAAAGTGTTTGTTTTTGTTATTTTAACTAAACTATTAAACTCAATTAACCACTACTGAACAAGAATTGGTCCCCTGATACTAAACAGCAAAGTTAATAATTGTTCCATTTCTATATTATTGTTTGTATAGAACAAACACACCCGAGGGAAATCAAACCTTTGATCAAGTTAAACAATTCCTACTTTGCTTGAAGGGTTTACTTGTTTTGGTTAAAACAACCTGACAAGAAACTTTTGTATTGGCAGCCGGGAATCAAAAGTTTTCTCAATAACTAAACTAATAAGTGCCATATGAGAACCCATAAAAATTAAATTAACGTGTATTTGGCAAATTGATTGCTCAAAACATTTTTTTATGATTGTTAGAGTTATTAAACATTTTAAATCATTTATCAAAACAACTAGACTAACAAAATGAAAACTTGCATTATTCTATTTTAAGCTTTTGGATACTGTTTCTCACTGGTCATGGATACTTCAGAAACCATTTACAAGAAGGTGAAAATTGAAACACCACTAGCCATTATAACCATATATTAATTTGATCATCAACCACGACTATTGTGAAGTATTTTGTACGTTATATGTTTCTGAGTAAATATAAGTTGATAGAGAAACTTTCTGAATATAAAACCAAGAGACTTCATTCCGGAGGGTGGAGAACATAAATGATCAGATCATCAATGTCTAGATGCTCAAGAGCTAAAAATTGGCTAGTTGCAGTATACTACAAAGCAGAGCATTAGCTAAATATATAAAAATAAAGGTGTGTTGACCTTGATAAAAGGAAGTGGCTAATGATATGACTCAACATACCAAAACCAGATGAGTAAGCCCAAAAACTTAAATGAACTCTTGAGGTTTTAAGAGTAGGAGTTTAAGAGTTTTACATTTCCCTACATGGATAGTTCTTAAAATAACTCAAGCATGAGTTAGTATTTTGAAACTCTTTTAGATATATTATTTGTGTTTACAAAAATACTATGGCAGGGAATAAACCTAGTATTAGCAGTTATTCCTAGTATTTGTATCACCCAAGTATCCTATGATTGAATTACATCAATATTCTTGTATGACTCAACTTATAAACCTGCTAAGCTTACTTTAGGTATTGCTCACTACTAGTTTGAACTGAGAAAGGCTGAATAAGATCCAGATGTTACTAGGTTTGATTCTGTAGTGTCATTCATATGCCTTTGCATTTAACATATATGTTTTATTATTTAGATTGTTGTGTGTGATGAGGACTCTTGTAGAATAATAATAAATCACATTCTTGCAACATTTATTTGTATTTTATTTATATTATCTTACATCAGATTCAATGTTCCTAACTAATGGACTGTTATTCCTCAGTAATAAAGCTGCCCACAGCCTCATACTCAAACTTATTCTACATTTAAAACACTGGGTATTATTATATGCAAATCATGCATTTTTGTACTATGGAAAAATCTATAATATGGGCATAGAGGAGATTTTCAACTTACTTCACACTAGATTTACTGATTTTTACTTTCTCCCCCTATACGGATGCTCATAAGTATATGGATACTTACCCCCTATTGTATATGGAGAAAGTATTGTTTTGTCATAATTTTCGAGTTTGAGTTTTGAGTGGATATATTCGTTTTGGGTCCCCCTGGACCCAAAAAAGTGGTTTTCGAAGTGATGTCTGTGTTGGTGTGTGTCTGTGTGTCTGGATGTGTACAGAGCTAGGGACTACACCTGTGGTCCGATTTCGATGAAATTTGGTATTTGGGTTCTAATCCATGGTATCTCCAGGCATTATTTCATTTTTTTTATTTTGATTTTTAATGGGGATTTTCCCATAAAACCCCATGAAATAATGGAAAAATAGGATTTTACCAAAAATGGCCCGAACGATTTAGTATGTTATAGTCCTTTAAATTCAGAACAAAATTGTACAAATCCCATTTCCGTATATTTACTCTCACCGCTTGCAGATGATAAAGGTTGTTGACAAACTTATGGGAGAAAGTATGTGTCAGAATGCTGATACCGTTTATTTTCATTGTTAGAGTTAAAGCATCAAAAAACATCATGTGGTTACAGAATGGAAAAGCTGGAACATTTTAAATTATTGAAGAGAAATAAACACCGGTCGATATTGGACCAACTGTCATGGGACAGCAATAAGCTTTTGGAAGCAATGAGTTTGATTGGGGAAACAAAACTGATCTTCTTATACATTTTTCAAGCAATTTAGCTTTAATTAGAGCATGTTCATTGTTTGCCTGGGAAGATAATTATGTCATAACAACGAACCACAATTGAATAACTTTTTAATAATTTAAGCATGCTTTAATTTGTTTTAGGATAAGACTAGCATTCACTGGTACCCCAAGTAGTTAATATTAGACAAGTAAAATCTGTCTTAAAGGGAGTCCAAATCAAAATTTTTAAATTTTTACTTTTTATGCCCTTTTTATAGCACAGAATTTCTTCTTTAAAACGGTATACTTACTTTTTTTAATTACTAACCTAGAAATGTATAAAAAAATATATTTTCAATAACATTGCAGTGACGTTTTAAAGGTAAAAATCATAGACCCTTGGAGGCTTTTCTTACCGATTTTACTTTCTAGAACTTAAATGTTATTTTTTCAGGACTGGTAATACAGTTGTGAAATTTTTACCATGTAGTCTTAGTGACTTATTCTAAACACAGACATAAGGATTTCATCATATCTTTAATAGAAACCTGTAAAAAAAATTAATTAATTTGTTAAACAAATATTTTTAAAATTTAGAAAAACCTATAAAATAATTATTTTTTATTTTAAATGAAAAATCTTGTGTCTGTGACTAGTTTATTAGTTAATATAAAAGTATACCAAGTTTCACTATCAATTCCTATAATGTTACATTATTAATATCTTGAACTCAAAAATAGCAAATGAAAAATTACCAGAGTTTGTGTATGGTTACATCTTCTGTTATGTAGATAAATGGAATCCTTGTCAAATAATGGTTGAAAACCCCTTTAATCTTGCAAAGTACAAAGAGAAACCAGCTTTGGAGGTCTGTCCCTTGCACTTCAGGCACTTATTGTCTACAACTTTGTGTGCCACTCAACACTGCCTGACCAGGCTGTCAGAACTACCCCACCTAAACGACATATTGTTAGTGGGCTGAAATTAATTTGCAAGTCACCAAACAAACAATGGACGTAGTTTCCAAGCTATTACCAATGCAATTTAACTATGGACATTTTTAGTAAAATTGTGTATGATATGATATGAGAAAAGAAAACTTTTACTAAAAAGATAAGACACGCCTACATGTTTGTTTATTAAATAAGGAGACACGTTTAACATTAGTACGGGACCTATGTAATCCATAAAAAAATGACATTAACATCTACGATTTTTGGTTGATTTAACTCTAAATAAAGTTAATGATATCTTTTCAAAAAGTGAACTGTAAATAATGGTGAATGTGTAAATTCGCACAACAGTTTGTATGCAATTACCAGCCAAACTGTAATGTTATGGTTTCCAAGTTTTTTATCTCAATCAAACTATTGTTGGTAATTTTTAGTAAGAAAAAAGAAACTTATTATCTGCGGGAGAAACAAACTTTTGTCCCGAAGGAATTGAGCTGGTTGAAACAGCAAGGAAGTGTAATCCAATATCAGCCGTCAATGAGAACAAACTTCAATGTAATTTTAACTTTAAACTTCTATTGAAAGGATTTTATGTTGTCGAAACTACAGAAAATACTCAAGAAATAATTGCAAACTTTATAAAAGGCTGATCTAAGACAATTTTTTTTACACATTGTACTGAGGATCTATTCAAATTGTATTTAATAGTTTTAACCAAAATAATATTTTAAGATCTTACAAAGCTACTTATATCTGTATTTGGCTATAACACTGTATTAAGGTATATATACCCCTACCACTTTTGAAAAAAAAAACATTATCTTATCTTAAAATACACGATTGTGGACAGACCTCAGTCCTCAGTGTGATAAAGGCTTAGATAAATTTAAACAGCAAAACATAAGACAATAAGTAATATGAAGGCTATGTGAGAATGAAAATCCCTAGAAAAATTAAAGATAAAAGTCATTGCTTTACAGAAACGTAAATTTAAAGTCTGATACTCAACACAACAAAATTTACAAAAATGCATTTGTTCTAATTGTTTCAGTGATAATTTTGTATGAGCTCAGTTTTTTAATAATAATAAGATTTAAAAACCATTTCTGGGACATGTGAGAAAGAATATTTGTTCATACAGCACAACAATTACTCAAATAACCACATCAAATAACCGAGAAATTTTCCAACTTGTTCACAAAAAAATATCCGGCCTATCATTTTAAAGATTTTAACTAAGGACTGAGAGATGATATCTGTCGAGTTTGTGTTACGATAACTATGGCAATCATTGTAAAAGCAATGTTTTTATTTTTCTTAAGCTTTTAAAAATAACTCAATTTTCTGTGGTTTCCCTCTTTAATATCATCAAACAAACTAAAATAAAAACAAGACAACAATAAACTACTGCAAATATTAATAATCAATTACTAGTATTGGCTGTTTGAATTTTCATCAATACCTTTGCAGGGAAAGAAAACCCTCCAATGCCCAACCTTTACATCCTAATCGTATTAATTGATAGAACTTTTTAATGGGTAAAAAAATGTCTACAGTTTATAAAAAAAGTGGAATCTTGTTAAAACTATTTGCATAATTTACACCTGCATTAATAAACAATACAACAATAACTATGTCGAAAGGATTAGAGGGGTCTTCAATAGTCCTTTTGACAAATAGGGTAACATAGGGAAGGCATCTACGCAATCCAATTAAACTATCATTAACACAATTTAAATAATAATATATTCTATAAACTCATTGGTGACAGAACATTAAATAGCATAGTAAAGTGATTTTTCTCTTTAACAAAACATTTACTTAGCAACAACAAAATTCTGTTAATGTACCACTTTATCTACTCTTATTAAATTAAAATTATTTTTACCATCTTCTTTCAAAATTATATCAAGATCTTCTTTCTTCTAATTCTATCATTGATCTTTCTTATATGTGGCTAGTAACAAATGATAAACGTAAAATGTAACATTGCATGTTGTGACCTCAGACAATATGTAAATCCCAATGCAACAATGTAGGAAATGAAATATTTCTCTAGTTGAAAAAATATCTACTGTACATATTTCAAAATTAATATCACGCCTACTGGTGTTTCATGCTACAGGACAAAGTTTAAGGTGATACGTAGCCATCGTCAGGGGACTGAAGATGTTTGGTGTTCATCAAACTATCACGATGCATTGTTCTGAAAACAACAACATGTCTAAGCTGAGTAGAGGGACAGTATACATTGTTCTACTTTATTATTAGGGAAAGAAATCCTCCCCAGCTCCCTTACATTGTCTGGCAACACGTACCTTTGTTGATAATTTTGAATTTGTATTTATTGTCTAAACATATACTTCAAAAAATAACACATAGTTGAAGATTACTACAAGCAACAACTTGAGAGAAATGTTGGCTGGTTTTATTGTTGTAGAACTTTTAATGATATTTTTAGTGTTTTGGCTTTTAATTATGTTTGTGGCATCTGACAGATTAGGAGACCCTTACTCACACACATACAAACACAGCAAGTCCGGCTGCTAGGTAGATGACTCAAACACTGAGGCTCCAGTAAGCAACTGCTTTTGATTAAATACAAATTTCAATAGTTATATAACATGTTTATTTGTAATATTTATAAAATTTAAAAGCAAATGACAACAAACTTGATATGATTATGATAATATAGTGTGTATAGTAATGAGACTAATGTGGTTGAACTTCTTGTATTGACATCTCAAATATTTTATGATTCTATGCAAAGATTTTTTACCACCGTCAAATAGTCCTGCATCCTCCAAAGACTTTTGTAGTTTTTTTACGCCTAGGAAGCTCTTGCCGCTCATAATTTTGCAGTATGTGCCGTCGCACAGCCAATTTACCGAACTCGTCAATACCCGTTACTGATTTCTTCCTTTGCTGTTCTCTTGGGGTTGATATTTTAATTCTTTTAGGGGATGAAACTACACCTACATCTTTAGTAACTTCCGCTGAACTCTTCAATTGTCTCCGTATTTCATGCTGATAATACTGAATTCAGTTCCACATTTATCCACATTTATTTAGTGACAGTGCGTTTCAAAACACTACAGGCCGCTGAAAGTCGTTCAAGTACCTTTTTGACATCCAAAATAGGCCATATACTGTACTTTTCCAAATAAAAGTAGGTTATCACAGAAGCAACAATACTTCTTGCTCGTATATGCAACACTTCCTTTGACTTCTTTGATGACATCTTTATAGTATACTGTAAAACTATGAGCTCAACACCACTATACAACAATGACCACAACAATGACCACCTTACTTCACAAATACCAAAGGGCTACTGATGTATGTGAAACCCACCAGTCTCTTTTAGGGAATAGTACAGAACATGACTCATGTTATGTAGGGTAAGACTACTACCCTTGACTCATAGTAGCGTCCAAACAACCCTTTGTCGTCGTATGTCAGAGACCAAGCGTTCACGTTCACACTAAATATTCTTGCACAAATGACCCAAGGAAATTTAAGAAAGCAGTAAACAATTGACTACTGGGCATGCAGAAGAGCTCTCTATCTGTCCTAGTCTCCACCTGCCAAGTGCCTCCACTTCTCCCCAAGTCTTCTTAACCTCTTTCGCTTCTTTGATAATGGTCCTCTTCCAGGTTTCTCAGCGTCGACCTCTTCTTCTGATACCTTGTGGGTTCCAATCTGGGGCCTCTTTCTCAATGGTTCCATTTGGCTTCCTCAGAGTATGTCCCAGCCATTCCATTATATCTGATCCTTTACCAAGTAAAGTCATTCTGACATACCTTGATATTTCTTTCCTTTAAGACATTCTGCCTGCCTTGGTGGGATGTTGTTTCTAAGTTCATGTTTTAGTTTTTCTAAGATTCTTTGTTTGTTAGTGTTTTCATGATTCTTCATGCAAAATCATAAAATGTTAGTAGTCGTCCGTTGTTTTCCAAAACAATAGAGTATGTCCCAGCCACCTCCACTTCCTCTCGAATTTGCAGTTTGATCTGAATTTGACCTGTTTATCTCCATAAATCTTCGTTTGCAATGATCTCAGGCCAATTAATGTTCATGATATGGCAAAGACACCTATTAATGAAAACTTGTAACTTTCAACGTCTCACTTGCATACAGCAAAACATCTATATAAATAAAATTAGAGTTTTGTCTGTACATTGCTCAGAATCATAAACTTTTAGGTTATTTTTACGTTTTATACATTAGAGAAACCGAAACAAGTCTCATCTAAATTTCTGTCTGTCTTCATGTCTGTTACGACCCAAGAGCCATTTTACGCGGACTACTCCTGAAAAACGAGAGTACCTATCAAGTTCCAAATCATTTTAATGTATTCACTGGATTGGCGAAATTGTCTTTAGTCATTAAAATATGGCGTCACCACTTTGTAAATAAAATAACGGACGTTTAAAAACCCAATTTTGTGCGATTTTTTGTTAAGTTTTCTCCCAATGTTTAGCACATATTCTTCTATGAAATAACGAACAGCTGTTCAAATCAAGATTATTTCTTCTAGCTGTCACTGATATGTTTACATTGAATGTTGTTTACAAATACCGCAACCATTTCCGATCACGTTTTGAAAGCAAATCCAAACCAATTAAGATTAAAAACGTTTTTCCTTACATAACGGATTTAATTAATCGCAAGTGCAACAATATGTAGGGTAACAGTAAATGAAAATAGAGATTCTTTGTGTATAAAATTGTTCTTGAGTTTTGATAACCGGGAAATAGACCTTGAATCTGAATCAGTGTTGTATATTGCTGGGAAACTTGCATTTTTTAAATGAGCGTTTTCAGTCGAGACTCGGCACACGACCGACGCGCGTCTACTTGTCTATAGTAAAAATAAAAGTAGGCCTACTGTGTATTTATGTTTTATTCGTCATGTGTATAAGTATACATTTCGTGTATGTGTTTCAAAAACTCCAAGACGCACCTAATGGGGAAGCTCAAGACCTTTAGGACTGATGATGGCGATTTAATTTCGCCGAAATGCATCTCCTGTAATAGGATACATTAGGATCGACCAGCGGACACAGGTAATTTAGCCTTTTATTGATTGTCATACCGATCCGGAACCACAACAAACAACATAAAATGAAGTTATGTATAATAAATAGTTTGGCCAGCATATATGAAAATATGCAAACCAACTGCTGTTTTTTTATATAAGAAGGTTTCAACTGATTACTATAAGATCCCCGTGCGTAGAACGGGTACACAGCTAGTACTTAATATTTGTGTAAGATAAGATGCAAAGCTTTGTTTTCTTTGAGATGTTTGGATTACGCCAAATTGGGTACAGCTGTATAAAGGCGGCATTTGCTTTTTTAATGCAGGTCTTCACATTCTCATCAGCTCCTCTACTTGTTGAAACATAATTCCCAAGTAAGAAAAAGTGTCGACCTCCTCTATTTCTTCTCCATCATAGTTTAGGATTTGTCTGTTTTCTGCATTCATCTTCATAACTTTAGTTTTCCGATGGTTTATCTTGAGTCCTTCAGCACATTCAACTTAAACTGCATGTCAGTGTATCTCTGTACAAGCAGGCATATATCAACTGCGTAGTCTAGATCTTAAAGACATCTGTGTAATCTCCATTGAAATTCTCGGCTTCTACCACCAATTGTACTCCTCATAACTGCACCCAACACCAAAAGAAAAAGGATTGGCGACAAGGTGCATCCCTGACGGACACCTGCTTCAATGGAGATGGGCTGCGTCAACTTTCCTTGGTGAAGATTGATCCCTGTCATACAGATCTTTTATTATACTTCTTCGTATTCCATAATCTTCGAGTACATACCATAAGATCCTATGGCTAACGGAGTCAAATGCTTTCTCGGAGTCAATAAATGCCAAGTAAATCGCTGCCTAAAATCCTCCGGAGTGTGGACATGCACACAGCTGCGATGTGCTCTGCAACCTGCCTATTCATTTCGAAGTATGCTCTCAACTATAATTTTGATCCGATTTAAAATTATTCATGAAACAATTTTGTTAAGGACAGTACATTCCAAGTCAATATCTCAATTTGTAGGGATCTCATCAACTCTTTCTCTTCTCTACGGTTGTTGACTGTCCCCCTTACTACGTATTTCCTTTAAATGATCTTCCCATCTCCTGAGTTGTTCTTCCTGTAAGGTTAACAGTATTCCATTTTTGTTTTTTCCATTCAATTGCACCAGTAGTAAGTGTCTAAGGTGTTTGAGAGGCTTCTCAACACACAAGTAGTTGCGTTTTTGAGAGTAACCTATTATTCTCAAATGATCAAAATATGGTTTTAGAGCAAAAATAGGCACATGGAGTGCAATTGTTAATTTTATGAAAGATTGTACTAGTAGCATAGTAAAAAGAGGTATAAGTAGTTTTTATGACATGTCAAAAGCCTTTGACACTTTAGAAAATAAGCGTTTACTTTCTAAGCTTTAGTTTTATGGGTTTACCAACCACTCCATTGAACTTGTAAATTCATATTTGTCAGAAATATTTAGACTGTGTATTCTAATAATTGTTTTTATAACTACAATCAAGTCTGTCAATACTGGTGTTCTACAAGGGTCAATTTTTGGACCCACAACGTTTATTGTTTATGTAAATGATTTACCAGCATCAATCACAAATGTTTGTGTGCCATCTTAAATATATGCAGATGACTTTGCAATCCAGATTGATTGTCATAGCCTAGTTGACTAACTTTTAGATCAATCAAATGAAATAATTGAAGATTGGACTGGATCTAATTTATTGTTTTGAATAAAAATAAAACACAAGTTCTTAAACTTAGCCTAAGTGGTTATGAAGTTTCTGAAGATGTTAAATTTATTGGTGTGTTGTTGCAACCTAATATTAAATGGTACAGTCATATTTTAAGCTTGTGTAAGAAGATTTCTAAAGCTATCTTTTTAATTAGGTGACTTAGGTTAATTGTTAGCTTAGATATTGATGACAGTCTACTGTCTACTAGATCAGCGCAATCTGTAGGTGGCTCACATCAACTAAGACAAATTTTATTAAAAACCTGGCTACAACTTTAACATGGGTATGGAATGTCTGCTTGTTGTATTAATAGTCAAAAATACTGTGCATATATACAGGGTGAATAAAAAGTCAAGACCCCCCTCTAATATTTTTCCAAGTAAGTATACAGGGATATCCTTTTGATGGTCGTGCAATCCTAGCAGGAAGTTTCATTTTATGATTTTGAAATTTTTTAGTGTCTCCAAGGGGGGATTTGGGTGGCAACTTAAATATTTTAAATGTTTGTATCACGTCGTGTCGTGTCCCGTAGGCCTACCGTTTTCAGTATTTTTATGTTCGTGTACGTGTTTGTGTTTTGTTTATTTACTAGCGTACATGTTGCTCGAATTCGAGCAATTGCAATGTATTACAGGAGTTATTTCACAATGAATAACAGTCATATTTACAATGAGTTTAAAAGAGTCAACTCAAAGATTACCGGTGTGTAACTCAGACCATGTTTATCTTCGTTATTGATAAACCTAAAGCATTCCGGTCGGTTTTGTCCTTCTCTAAATGCCTCGCTGTACAGGCAACACAGGTCATTGATAGAGGGCCAATTGAGAACGAAAAGTCATTTTGGGGTAGTGTTAAGGCGGATTTGTAACCTAATAGTTGAGATTGTCTAGGGTCAGGTGCTGACTGTGATGAGTTAAGCCTAATACGCGCCACTGTTCTGTAGCTGCGGTCGTTATCACGATTACGCCTCCTGTCTATGTTTCGTTTTCGTCGCGTCGGAGGTATTTAAAAGAAAAAAAAACAACAAATAAACAAATTATAGGTACACAAAACAACGATAAATGCACAAATTTAAGTTAGAATTATGCTAACACGATCCGTCATAGCGACACAAAACAACCATAAATACACAAATTTAAGATAAAACCATACTAACACGATCCGTCTTGGGGGTTATGTTTACACAAACTCAAATAGTAAACACATGTACTCAATACGTGTCATTGAATTGAAAAATAAATAACAGCAATTAAATTATACAGCTGATCAAAATGTAAACAATTATGTTCTTCATAAGGATAACATGGGAACTTTCAAAGCCACTGGGGCAGAACCCAAAGGACTTATTCAAAAATGTAAGGCCAGTTTGCAAATCTACGCGACACGCTCTTTCCAATGAGACGTCAATGGATAAAATCGGTTAAGAAATGGCAGAGGAGTTCAACCGACAAAGTTTCATGTAGCGTATTAATTATATAGATTTATTATATATTGACGACCTTCGGATGAAGCGAGAAGACATCTTATAACTGCCTGAAGATGACTCCAATGTGAGTTGAAACCGGTAGCAACTCAGCTACAAACAAGATCGCATAAATGCAGGTATTTTATACCAATTTATAGTATTTAAATGCGATCAGGAGGCTAAAATTCAATATAATATTCTGTTTGTATATTCATTTTTTATAATTTAAGGAACATTTTGAATACAACCCTTAAATTTATTAATATTTGTAATTTATTACAATTAGCAATTGTCAACTGGACTCCTCAGTGGTGAGTCAGTGGCCAGGCAAGTCAGACCCAGGTGCTCGTGAGTGTACAAGAGTCAAGGGTCTCCTATGATTCATCAAGTGTCACGGACCGTGGAACCGGGTATAGTTGGTCAATGTGAAACCATTGTGAACTAAGCAATGTAATTGGTAAATATAATAGCACTATATCCGGATCACATGTTACGTTCTCTATATTAAGCAAAAGAGAACTAAGTGATATTTGCAATAACACCCCTGTAAAAGGGAAATTCCACTCTGGTTGATAGCAAGACTGCCAACAGCTGGTTCAGACAGAGTGAACCAAGTGCTGTCCAGATCACGCGAGTGACCATGAATTACTTAGTATTCCTTATTTGTTTTCGGAATCTGGCAGTGGATTTGCTTCTTCTTTGCTGTTTTCAGTCAAGTCTAAGTTATAATATCAATAATCGTTTATTTTATAAGAGTAAAAAGGTGTAGTTCACTAGTGTTCTAATCAAGGTAACCTGCTCTCAGCCAAAGTAAACCAAGTTACTTTAAATGTGTTCTCAGTTTTATTTAGGGTTACAACAATATTGAGTATTCACGATTTTTATTTACACTTTCTAAGGCATATTAGGTCCTAATATAAGCAACCAGCGTCACTCCCACTAATTGGGGCCGAGTTATAAATTGCCAAGTTATTCATATTGCCTTATGAACTCTATACCTTCCAATCAACCAGAGTGAACGAAGTAGCTAAAATAAATAAAATGGTTCAACCACAATGAAGTAAGTGTTTGCATTGTTAAAATTACAGTATATCCATTACAAAAGTTATTAAAAGAAGGAATTTTATATTAATGAGCTCTAATACCAAGAAAAGTTCACATATTTTAATGTGGTAAGGTTTAAATGGGCTAAAGTTGATCAAATTTTTTTTTTTTAATCCAAACTTTAACCTCGTTTTTTCTCAAAACATTGAAAATGTCACTTGGTTCACTATGGTTTCACATGAAAGAAAGTCAGGAGGTTTATCTGGAATTCCATTAGTAAAGGATGATTATTTATTACCAGCCGATCACGAAACTCGAAAAATTGGGAATAATGACAGAATTTGTACGACTCCCCAAATTCCAGTGAATGGTCAGTAGGCTACCTACGTAGCTTTTGCATAGGATTGGCAAATTTTAATTTTGAAAGAATTAACCCCAATATTCTATATATCTGAATATTCATATATTCAATTTATTAGCCAGAAGAGAACACAGGAACACAGGAGATGAGGTGGTTGCCATCTAACCATGTTGCCATAATCGCGAGGTGGTTTTTTTTATGTTGGTTTTGAATGTTGTCTTAGACACATCACTAATTATCTAATGTACTAAGTAAAATAAATAAATAATAAAAATTAACGTCAAATGGCACAGAGTGTATTAATAGCCAACATCGTCAAAACGTTCCTGCAAATAGGCCTCTTTCCTGTTGTTATTGAAATACTGGTATCATACTCCTATTTCAACGTTGATTGTCAGTACCACTTGTCATAAAAATCGATGGCACCATGAATTGCCTCCAGGTTCTGATATCAATGAATCACTAATTATAATTAATATTGTAAAATTGTTAAGAGATATATATTTTTTAATTCCCTTCCCCCTTCAGCCACCAATGTGAGAAACATTTTACAGATGGTACACCATGCAACTTTCTAAGCATAATAAATACCTCTAAGGTATTTGAAATCTATACGCTTTCTCGTATCCGGAAATAAATCAGCTTCTAGTAAATAGCAACCAATAATTTGATTCATTTTTTTTACATTTGGTCTAAAAAGTAGGAATTTATGTATTGTTTTATTTAGTTACTAATTATCAGTATAGAGTTTTTACCTGACCACCAGGTTGGCATATGGAATGATAGCCTCCTTTGTGTAGCGTGTCACTTCTAGTAACTCTGGGGTCCACACTGGAGTGAGTCCCAAGCGGCACCTGGCAACCATCACAATGGCAGCTGCCACTCTCGATGGGGGATGACCAACAAAAGTTAATGCTGCACACCAAATTGGACAATGAGTACAAAGTATCACAGTAATGGTGTTAATGACTAATTTCATATATATGTATGACCATTGATTAATCCTTATATTTCTGTTGTATGATTTATTTGTGAAGATAAATTACCACATGTTTTAATAATGTTAAATAATGAGTAAATAAATAGTGATGGAAATGTTGTACTGAAATTGACTACTCTTATTTTGACTTTGATAATTGACAATTTAATATTGGTGCCGAAACTAAAAAAAAGAACCATGTCTTACAGAAAAAGTAATAGGGAAGTTAAACCTCCAAAAAGATAATATACCCCTGATCAGAAAGAAAATAATGATAGTGACAAATTATCAAAGAATGTTTCTGAGAATGGAAACAATGACACTCAAGGAGTAGCATTGAGACAAACCAGCATTACTTCTAATAGTCCAAGGAAAACAAAAAGTAAATCAGCAACATCAAGCAGCAGGAGACAAATGGAAATAGAACTTGAAAAATTGGAGGAAATACAAAAACTGGAACGAGAAAATGAAGAAAAGGAGCTGGAAAGACAAAGACTGATGGAGGAGAAGGAGATGGAGCTACAAAGACTGGAGCTGGAGAAGGAAATGGAGCGACAACGTCTGGAGAAGGAAATGGAGCGACAACGGCTGAGAGATGAGAGGGAGCTAGAGCGACGTAAACAAATGCTGGAAATAAGGGCTTCTATGAAATCACTATCGGCAAATGGTAGTCAAGTCTGTGGATCTGAGGTAAGCATAAGTCAAAGCTTAATATTTCAGAGAGAGGAGAGAGAATCTGAGAGTAAAGTCGTAAAGTGGCTGAATGATAATGAACCGACAGTTCATCAGTGTTCATTAACCGCTATAACCACGGCTGCACAATTACTAGCAGATTCAGTCAAAAAAGCTATTCAACCAACCTATCTTTGCCGCCAACAGCTACCAAACTTCAGTGGTAGACCAGATGAGTGGCCTATGTTCTTTTCTGCATTTGAAAATACCCTAAAATTGTATTCTGATGATGACAATCAAGCTAGACTTAGAAACTGTCTTGAAGGCGAAGCCTTCAAAATGGTGAAACCTCTTTTTGTTTCCAGTAAAAACTTGCATGCCATAATGAAAACGTTAAAGATGCGTTTCGGTAAACCCGAGTTTATCATTGAGTCTATGATGAACCAAACTAGAATGCTAGCCCCTGTAACAGAAGACGATATTGTTGGCCTCATCGAATTTTCTACAACCATGCTTAACTTTACCTCTACAGCTGAGTTCCTTCATATGGAGTACTACATGACAAACCCTCAACTACTCAGTGAACTGTTAGGGAAATTGCCTTATCAAATGAAGTACCATTGGGCTCAACATGTGAACAGTATGTGTTTAACTAGACTTAGCCTAAGTGATTTTTCAGATTGGTTAGAGAGACAATGTTCTATCATGAGTATCTATTTTCATCCAAACAAGGAAGTCCCGACTAGAAAGAAAAATGACTTCAAACCTGTGTTGACCAACTCTTCAAAAGCAGCAGTTCCCGCAGTTGGCCCACTTACCTGCGAGTTCTGTGGTGGTAAGCACGAAAATGACAAATGCTCTATACTTCGGAAAGCTGATATTTCCAAAAGGTGGAAAATAGTAGGTGAGAAAAAGCTATGCTTTTCATGTTTCAAACGACATCAACTTAAATTTTGTAAATCTAAAAGAGCTTGTAGTATAAACGGTTGTAAGCTGTACCATCACCGTCTCTTACATAACTCCAATCTGGAGCGACCTCCAATGAAAAGAAATGAGGGAGAGTTAAAATCTAGAGATGAAGTAATCGGTAATCATTTTGAAGATAACATATCAAACCGTGTTTTGCTTCGTGTTTGTCCTGTAACGTTGTACGGTCCCAAGTTCCAGGTAGATACTAATGCCCTTTTAGACGACGGCTCGACTGTATCACTTCTGGATTCGTCAATTGCCGATGAACTTGGTATCAAGGGTGAGATTGTTCCTTTGACAACATGTTGGTCTAACAACACAAGACACGTTGAATCTCAATCAAAGAGAATAGATTTAAAAATAAAAGGATTTTACGAGGATGAAATCTTTACATTGAAAGGGGTTAGAACTACCCCTATAAAAAAGTAATTTCTGGCCATATATGGCCATATCAAAATTCCATATATGGTTTTATAAAGCCATATATGGGTTTTGATGAGCATATATGGAAGCATATATGGCCAGATGTGGTTGTATCCATATATGGTGGTGTCCATATATGGCCATATATGTAGTATATATATGGAATTATTGTTCATATATGGCCATACATGTTTTCGATATATGAAATAATTGTTCTTATATGGCCATACATGTTTTCTATATATGAAATAATTGTTCATATATGGCCATACATGTTTTCTATATATGAAATAATTGTTCATATATGGCCATACATGTTTTCTATATATGAAATTATTGCCCATATATGGCCATACATGTTTTCTACATATGAAATTATTGTTCATATATGGCCATACATGTTTTTTATATATGAAAATATTGCCCATATATGGCCATAAATATCCTCCATATATGGAATTATGGTCTATATATGGTCATATATGACTCCCAGGTATGAAATTAAATTACTCATATATGGAATAATAATTTTCCATTTATGCTCATCTATAAATGAGTTTTTGACAATAACTGGAATTATTATAAGGGATTTTTGCCACTTTAGGATTATGTAACTCTCAAACTCCCAAACACTTCTTATAATATTAAAAATCTAAAGTTTATCAGTTTGTGTATTTTCTTGTTGCTCTCCAAGCACAAACTACTTAACTGATTGAGTTGATATGTGGTACAGTAAGGGGGCAGATAATATAGGCAATTCTCCTTTAAAGTAATTATTAGTAAAGAAATAAAATATCCAGATTTGAACCCTGATGACAAAATCCTGTACATACATCTATTGTACAATTTTATTATAACGCAACAAAATCTTAAAACTGACGTATAATTTTAAAATTGTAAGTGTAGTAGGCCTAAATAAGGAGAATATTATATTAATAATTAATTAATTGTACCTTTGCTATCAAACAGCCTCAAATATCAATGTCACGTAGTTAGGCTATATTAACATTCTTCAAATGACATAAAATGTCTAAGAAAAATCTTGTTTTACGAGACCAAATACAGCTTCTCTTATTCGTAATGGGTTTTGATCATCCACATGATATGAAGCAATCGTGGTGTAGTGGCTAAGGGGGCAGACTCTCACGCCGGAGTCCCGGGTTCAATTCCCAGTCAGATGCTTAAAAATTTTGTTTAGAAATTTTTGAATTTAAAATTTTTATTATAGTTTTAATTTATAGTTTATACCATTTAAGGTAAAAATATGTTTAATTGTTATTTTTTTATTTATTTATATATTTTTTATTAAAAAATTCCATATATGGAGGATTCCATATATGATCATATATGGAGGATTCCATATATGATCATATCTGGGGGATTCCATATATGATCATATCTGGTTGTATTTGGTCCAAAACCAAATATATCCGGATAAAAAAATTTTATATGGCCATATATAAACTTTTTCATAAGGGTAAGTCCACTTTAGAGTTACCACACCAACAAATAGACAGTGTCAAAATGAGGAAGAACTGGCCACACCTACACTCGATCAACCAACCTCTTCCATTAGCGAGTGTCAGGCCCACTTTCTTGATAGGCCAAGACAACTGTAACCTAATTCTAACCCGTAAGATTATTGAAGGTCCTACTAACGCCCCAGTACTGTCATGGTGCCTTCTTGGCTGGACTCTACATGGGAAGTGTGCACAATTCAGAGATCGTGTGGATGAGAATTTTACCCTACTCTCATATGAAGAATCTTCACTTCATGACATGGTAAAGAAATCCTTTGAATTAGAGAAATATGGAGAAAATAGATCAAACAACCTGAAATTGTCCATAGAAGAAGAACGTGGAGTATCAATTCTTGAGGATACCATAAAGAAAACAGGAGATCATTACGAAGTTGGTCTTTTATGGAAAGATGACGAATTTAATTTTCCTCCAAGCTATGACAATGCTCTGAGAAGATTAAATAATTTTGAAAAGAAAATGGAAAGAGATCTGGAATTTAAAGAAGCTTACACCACCAAGATTGGCGAATATATCGAAAAAGGATATATTACAAAACTCAGCCCTGAAAAAGCTGCTATCATAACAGGTCGAACATTCTATCTACCCCACTTTGGAGTATCGAACCTGAACAAACATAACAAAATAAGATTGGTTTTCGATGCTGCTGCTAAATCTCACGGAGTCTCGTTCAATGATGCACTACTCAGCGGCCCTGACTATTTGAATCCATTGCCATCTGTGCTGTTGAAATTCCGGTTGGGAAAATTTGCCATTGTGGGAGATATAAAGGAGATGTTTCACCAAGTAAATATAAGAGATGAAGACGTTGACTCACATAGATTTCTGTGGCGAAAAGACAAAACCAAACCCCCAGATACCTACATAATGAAAGCGATGACCTTCGGAGCAACATGTTCACCAAGCTCTGCACTGTTTGTTGTAAACCACAACGCAAGACAGTTTCAATCTTTGTATCCTGAAGCTAGTAATTCCATACTGACTAAAGAATATATGGACGACCTGCTAGATTCAACCGACACAGAAGAGGAAGCTAAACAACGTGTTCAAGAAATAATTGAGACACATAGAGCTGGAGGGTTCCAAATTTGTAACTGGATGTCTAATTAAAAACAAGTACTTTCGAAAATTCCTGAAAACCTGAAAGCTAGCCAAGCCAAACATTTGATGCCCGATACTCGACTTCCTACAGAACGAGTACTTGGATTATGGTGGGACGCTGAATACGACTGCTTTGTGTTTCATCGCAATGTCGAAAAACTTGAATTTCTCGAATCTGACTATCCGACGAAACCAGAGATTCTTAAAGCAGCTATGTCAATTTTCGATCCTC